CTGATGAGAACAGTGTAAGCGTTCAAGCAAACCACTTCTGAAGATGCAAGCCACTCGTGCTTGCGAAACGTCAAGAAGAAATTCTACCGAACGACCGCCTAAAAACCCGAAAAACCCATTAGTTTCAAGGAATGGCCTCGAAAATGTTTTGATAGAGACACTTTCGTATCATCGTCCCATCGTATAAGGATGCATGGGACACAGGCGTTAACCCACCCTGAGCCAACTCGGCCATTCGCAATCACCCAAACTGAACAATTTTATTAAATTAACGCATGGTTAACGCAAATCTACGTGTCCCAAAGATGCACAAAAGCGCGCCTCGACCTCTATCGGGCTACGCGTGATGCTAAAGTGGAAGCAGCGCGGACCTACTGGAACACTTGCACAGCTCATCTTCAAGCGCGGCCTTGAAAGGGGCCCCCGGCTCCACCCGAGGCCCCGTTAGCTTTGCGCTCGCTGGCGGATATTGTTTGATTAGATAACTCGCCTGCTGTATGGGGACCGATCAACAAAACCCTAACTGACTGTTCCTGCTGTTGTTGTTCCAGATATTCCCAAAACGGTGACCGCGCCCCCTGACATCAACCTGCCATTTGGGGCTGATTGCGCGCGATCCCTCACCCCCACCGCCACTTTGCTGGCCTTGCAGCGGATCAAGGATGCCTCTTTGTAAGTGTCCTCACAGTGCCGCACTGTTCCAGACAACTCAATGGGGCCCTTTCAGGTCACTAACCATCACGCCCGCCCTCTCCCATCAGTCCTCACCCGGGAAATCCAACAACAACAACAACAACAACAACATATATGAGGACTCAAAGTTGCTGCCGGAGGTGACGATAAGGAGGAGGAAGATTCACCGGTGTGACGTGGCGGGGTGTCACAAAGTCTACACCAAGAGCTCCCACTTGAAGGCGCACAAGCGCACGCATACCGGTAAGTGAGCCGCAATGAGTTTGGCGCAGTCGCTGGCAAGTTTGGGGGTTTTAGGGGAGAAGCCCTATCAGTGCTCGTGGGAGGGCTGCACGTGGAAATTTGCCAGATCGGACGAGCTGACCAGGCATTACAGGAAACACACCGGCCAGAAACCGTTCAGTTGCAACTTGTGCCAACGGTCGTTTAGCAGATCGGACCATCTGTCACTTCACATGAAGCGACATTGACAGTCGGCGATGAAGTTTTTTTTAGTTGAAATTTTGTACAAACGCTCCCATTCTAGCCGGCCTTAAATCTGCCTTTCCTGGTGTCACCGAGTCTAATGAAACAGAGGCTGAGGTTATGTCCTGACCGTTGACAGCTGTCACACCAACATAGGGCCGCCATATTTTTGCAACTTTCACGGATAAATTGATTTATGTACAGGCGATACGTCAATCGGTCGTGACTGCAGTGGTTTTTTCTGCCAATATAAAGTATCGTGATTTTCCTTTGTCAAGACGGTAGCTCGTGTGTGTGCCGCTATCCGGCAAGATTTACTTCAAGTTTCCGCCAGTCGAATCACATAAATCACCTTGTAACGCTATATATCTACCAGGAAAGGTACATTTGACAACGATACTTGTATAGTAAAGCGATGTTTGTCCCATCTCTTGCGTAACAATGACATTCTCTGAACATTCCTAGTTAATTGTAGTAGTTTATTGTTATTGTTGTAATTTTAAGGATGTCGGAACACGGTGCCAGTAGCGATGTGAAAAATACTTGTTTGTAAAAACCCCTAATTTTAATTGACTAGTTTTAAGCCATTGCGGTGCGTTATGCCGAAGGAAACCGCCCTCTGCGGGCACCATTCAATAATTCATTTTTTATTACACCGAAAAAATTCCCGAGCTCTTCAAAGCGCACAAGCCAATCAAAAATTACTCCCTGACAAGGCAAATAATATTTTTGTGATATCGAAAAAAATATTTTACCCGAGCGTGCAATTTTTATATTTTTCTACGTTTAAGTTTCGGCTAAGGCTCGATTTTCGCTGGGCAAAGTTGGACCACTTGATACAGGCTCAAGCCGCTGCATTAACTATAAATATTGTAATTAAGAGAAATATGTATATTTTTAAAACCGTATTGCCAGTAACAGGGCCAGTATATTTTATACTATATTAATGCACGCGAATGCGGATAATTCTGTGTGCATTTTATTATATTTTTTTAATGTAATTTTAATATTCAAATATAGATCTCTGAATTCCTAGGCGCAAATTCGTTCAGTATATAATATTTCCGATTTGGCGACTATTTGCCGATTACCATTAAAAAAACCTTCTGCATTTAGTGGCAAAGGTCTAGGACCATGGGTCGCGTTGTTCTATAGAGAATCGTTATATTTCACGTTATTCTAGAGCTAAGAAATTTATAATATATTTATTAATGTTACATTTTAGCTGAATAAATATTTTGGAAGGGTTTCAATTCGTTGTCTACAACCATCAAAAACCGTTACCCGATAACCGCACCCATAACGCCGCGCTGTCAAACACAGAAATCACAAACACCTCTGAGATCTGTGGCTAGAAGCAGACAAGTACACATAACCACAAACCTATGTTGTAGCACTTGGTGAAAATTTACCTAAATAGGCCAGTTTCAATGTTTTCCGCTGTGCGTTCGCTACTAAGCCGCTCCGGAGGCCTGCTGCCGAGCTCCAGCCCCAAAATGGCCTTCCTTGCCCCCAACACTCCCAGCCTGACCATCAGCTGTGGCATGAAAGTAGTGGGGCTACTCAGAAAAAGGTGCAAAGACTGTTACTTCGTCTGCAGGCAAGAGCGGCTGTATGTAATGTGCAAGACCCACGGAAGACACAAGCAGATGTCAATGGTGAAGAAGCCGAAAAATACCTGGATCCTAACGCATGCCACCCAGAGCAAGCACAGGCCGTGGTAGGGCGCATTTTGCCAGTTTGTATAAGAAAATCACCGAATAGTGGACAGCGATTAGTTTGCGATAAATATAGATTGTAACAAGCGCGAAGTGTTATTCGATCGACCTTCCTTCTTAGAACCCCAAAGATATTTTCAACATGGAAAAGCGTACGCTCGTACATAAAACGGGTTAAATACACGCAAATTGTCATTCACCTCATGTATAGGGCCCAAAAACTGCCAAAAATCTCCGTTTTAACACAAAACTCATCAACCATTTGAATGTTCAATTGAAAAGTCAAATCCATCTACAATTGGCCACGAGGAATGGGTTTATCGATAGATAGAACGAAAATTTGGACGCCTTTGAATGCTGGCTGTACATTTTTTTCAACCAGAAAATCGCAAAATCAGTTGTTTAACGCCATAAACAGTTTTGCATCGCCAAATAATCAAATTAGAGAAATGAATGAAGTTTTAAAATATTTTTCCCAGAATAAAGAAGTTCCCAAAAAGCGACAACTCTAAAAAAATGTTGACAGTTGGCACACTTCTCGATTTTTTTAACATTACGATGCACAACCAGGGTGTTGTGAAAAAAAATCAATTTTATTACCCTGCATTGCAAAACCGTGCCTTTTTTACGTTTCAAAATATTCATCCTTGTCTAATCGGGACGACAACAATGAACTCAGCTCTAGCGTTTCAGTCCACAGATCACCGAGTACCTCTGTAACCTCTGTGATCCGTGGTTCCGTCAAGCAATGACAGATAACAAGCAGTGTGTTGTTTACATTGCACCCTGAAGATTCAAAACTATCACAAGAATTCCCAAACTTGCAGTTATTCTATCTGAGTTTGCTTTACAAGAATGACTGATGCCAGTCTACAAGAGGATGCAACCCACGTCTATATCGTAGAATGCAAGTAAGTGAAACCGTTTGGTTCCCAATAGCAGAAGCACCACGCCCTTTCAAGTCAAGCAAGAAGGCATAGCGAGCCCACTTAGCTTGAACTCGGCCCGCGTGTAAAGGCTAAACCTTTTTCAATCCTAGCTTGGACACGGAAGACGACTGCAGTGTGGAGGATGAGGAGGAGAGCTGCGCTGGGCAGCAAAACAGTCCCGAGGGAGCACGCACTAGTGCCCCGGCATCATTAGTGGGCTTGCACTCACTAATGATGCCCGAAGTGACCCTTACAGTTCCACGAGCGCCCACGAAACGGTTTTACCAATGCGACGTGGAGGGCTGCGGTAAAACGTACACGAAAAGTTCGCATGTGAAGGCCCACAAAAGGACCCACACAGGTGGGAAGCGCCCTGTATGTAATAGCTGTACTCTAGTCGTTGTTCTTGCAGGCGAAAAACCCTACATTTGTACCTGGGAAAGCTGTGAATGGCGATTCAACCGGTCCGACGAACTCAAGCGACATTACAGAAAACACACGGGGGCTCGCCCCTATTCGTGCGCGGTATGTGAAAAGACATTTATCAGGGCTGATCATTTGAATATTCACGTGAAGCGACATTCCTGACTAGTTGATTGCTTAGGCGATTAAGGACTTAACTAGGAAAAACCAAAGCTGTTACTACTGACGCTTTTGTAATGTAAATATGAGTCAGGGAGGTTGTTAAGTTTTAAAATAGTGGTTAGGCGGCAAGACTCTACACCTAAGACTAAGACTTGTGTTATTAATTTTTTTAAAAGTACGCGAAACTATAAACCTGAAGTGGGTGTAGGGTTTTGGTTTAGCAAACTAAGTGCTGTGGATTGTTTGGGCATTTTTCAGATAAACGTGTATTAAAATTGATGATTTAACTCCCAAAATCCCTATCGAACATTATGCTACGACAAAACCCCTGACTCAATCCTGGAACACGGAAAAATCTCGATTTAAGGGGGCACAATTTGAATTCGAAACAGTAAGTTATCAAAACTGACAAGCTAATACAACATGGCTGCCGCCAGCAGTGCCACCAACTCGAAGCAGCAAATTGACATTACGTACAGTCATCTCTTAATTGGGCTGGGTGTGAGCGAGACAATGATAGTTTGTTTTCTGATTCGGCAATTTTGTTAAGTTGGTCGCCCTGCCATTGACAATTGCAATATCGTTTTTATCAATCATCAGCAATTAGGTTAGAATTCTTGAATTTTTTATTTTACATAGTTTCACCAGTTTAGAAAGTCAAGAAATTGTCTTTGAATATACAGGGAGTGGTGAAGTGGTAATGTTTGGCCCTCTGACCTTCCCTCAGGCCCAGGGCCAAAACACTGAAACCAAATGTTTCTTATGCGAGGACAGTTTCAATTTAAGACTGCGCCTGGATATTTTCGTTCTCCACACCTTCGATGTGCACCAGTGTGTTATTGATGATGTGCAAAATATAAAAAATCTGCCCCAGTAAGTCTTTGCGCTCACATTGAAGCAAATCTACATCAGTCTGGTTCCAGATACGTTCTCTATTGGCGAAACCGATTTAAAGAGCGCCCTATTGAGCAAATCATTCCGACGGTGCGAAATGAGGGTGCTCAACAGCACTATTTCTTCCTCAGTACGCTGCTCAAGGAAGACAAACTGCTCAGACACCGACTTACATTGGACTACGTCCTCAAAGTACAAGAGTTTGAAAGAACAAACTTGAACTATAAAAGGAGCTGTTTGTTCTGCAAGTATCAGCATGAAGGTAACGAGATGCGCATTTAAATAAAACTTGATCCTTGAAAAATTGCGTCGTAGGTTCCAGGCAGGAGTACCTGGAACATATCTTCAAAGAGCACAATTTACATCTGGGGAATCACTACAACTTAGTGTTTATTGATGAACTAATTGAACATGTGGACTCCCAATTGCAAGCTTTACGATGTCTGTTTTGCAAGGGCGTGTTTCCGGAGCGGGCAGTGCTCAAGGAGCACATGCGGAAGAAAATGCACAAGCAAATCAGCCCTGAGGATGTGGAATATGATAAGTTCTACATAATAAACTATTTGGAAGTTGATAAGAGCTGGAGAGTCCTGCAGCATGAAACCGACAAGTAGGAAAGCGCTCAATACGCTTTAAACAAATCACTGACCGTCGATTGTCTTTAGTTACGCTTTGGAGGTCGACTATGAGGAGAACTGCGATCAGGAGTATTCGGATTGGACCGAAGCTTCTGGCCAGATCACCTGCCTTTATTGCGCGCACTGTGAAACTGATATGGGCGCCATTTTCGACCACATAAAAACGCAACATAACTTTGATTTTGCTCGAGCCACCAAAGAGTTGGACTTTTATCAGAAAATCAAGCTGATCAACTACACCAGGCGAATGATTTATAGGAAGACGTGCCCGTATTGTACGGAAGAGTTGGGCGATTCTGCAAAGCTCCAAGCACACTTAGCACAGGAGGGCCATTGTAAAGTGCCCTCAGACCAGGTTTTCGATCAAGCAGAGTAAGCCGTGAATATCCAGCAAAAATTCATTTGCAGTACTTAATTGGGTTTTTTCGATTTCAGATATTACTTTTCCACCTATGAAAACGACACGTTTTTGTATCTAATCGATGATATTGACGATTGAAAGCTGGCACTAATATCTGTTTTACCTGAAGCGTTATAGGAATATAAAGCGGCTTAGTCGCAAACGCAATATCGGGGTTTTCCTAACATTTATATGGCAGAAACAAAAAATCTCCTCTTGGCTAACGTTTTGCGCTGAGGAGCGAAACAACTGGGCGCTTTCACTTCGGCGTCCGCGATATATTTTATCTATCACTTATTCACAAGAAACTAACGAATACACAGTGTTGGGAGCCTGGATACTGGGTACGAAAGTCAGGAAAATGAAACCGTATGATGAAGGGCGCGGCACAAAATTTGATAGGGAATTAATAATTTATTTAAAGAAAATTGAAGGATTAAGCCTATCACAGAAATGAAGCGTTACTAGAGAATCAGCGTAAAGTAATCAGAAAAATCGCTCGAACTGGCTTGCAGTATTAGCAAGAAACTTGAAGGATTGAACCAGTTCAGCAGTCGGAAGCATCAAAGTCGACACTGCTGGTGTTGGGAGTGCTGCCCGCACTAGGCGGAGCCAGCTTTTTCCTGGCCAACTTGTCCAGTTCAGCCTGGGCGTCTGAGCGCATCAGAGCTTTGTCCGTTAGCGACTCAGACCCTACAAGGACCACTCATAAACCTGGCTCATTTCTTGTCTTAAACTTACCTGTTTTATTCACCAACGATGTGTTGGGGCTACCGGTTTTCTTATGCAGCAGCGAGTTGAAGAAATTGGCCAGAACGCCCTCGCCTCCCGGCGAATTCACCACTTTCGAGCCGTCCAGTTTTCGAGGCGAAGCCTGAATTCCTACAAAAAGGAACAGTTTAAATGACTGTTTGATCAAACATTCTAATATTCGTACCGGCTATGGGACTTCTCATTGGCCCATCGCTCAGCCTGTTACTTGCAGGACTCGCGCCTCCAAACGAGTGCTGTTGAAGCAGGGCTAGGAAGACCTGTTCGTCCTCCGCCACTAGCTCACTTTCTCGATTCACTGTCTGCAATTTGAAAGAGCTCTAAAGGGCTGCAAAGAAAACATCACCGTGTGTAGGACGTAAAGCTTACCTTTCTTGTAGTCGGCTGGACAATGACATCGCGATAGTAATCGTCTGGTTTGCACGAATGCATGTTTTCATGCAGGATGCTGATCTTCTTCATATTCTCCCAGCCGGCCGGGATGAAGACGGCGTCCTTTTCCACGACCAGCGCGGGCGTCTGGAATGGAAACCCGTAGATTCGATGGGTCAGATACCTGAATTGACCAAGCGTTAGAACAAGGCTTCCATCCACGAAAAAATCTCCGACTTACTTGTAAAGCAAGTCGCAATTCTTATCCTCCTTTGCGCTGGTGTAGAACAAAGCAGCCCCATGCTGCAAGCAGAACCGCCTGATCCACTGTTGCATGAAATCCAAATGCTCATCCCTGTAATCGTGCTCCTTTTCCAGCGTCTGGATGTAGTCCGTCTTGGTGACAACCACCACAATATCCAGGCCCAGATTGCTGGTCAGTGTTCCCTCTGACAAGGTGCTCAGATCGACGTCTTCGTTGTCTTCATCGCCCAGGTTGCGCGAGCTTCGCTTCATTGGAGAGGCTGGCTCCAATTCATCCCCTATTTTTTTAAATATTCAACTGTTTCTTAGCTCAGCTGCGGTGTCACCCACCAGGCTCAATGTATTCCTGCCATTTTTTGACCATCAAATGGCGCCTGTTCCGCCTGACATCGATGTCCAGCTTCAGCTTGTCCAAGTGATCGGCCAGAACCGACGACCAATGCTGCAGCTGCTCCAAAATGCCCCAAGGAGTGCTCATTGACACAGTCAATATCACCAAAGTGTCCTGTTCATACATAGTCTAAGCACCCAACCAGTTGGCCTTATTCGGTTCCTACCTGGAAGTTTTCCTCGTTGAGAGCAAACTTCAGAAGATCCACATGGGACGGATCGCCATCCAGAACCCAAACGCTCAAACGGGTGTGGTCGTCGCGATAATCATCCCTTACATTGATGTAGGCATATTCCAGCCCTGACCCCTTGCTGGAATTGTCAATCCCTTGCAGCTTTGCCACCTGAGCAACGAACGCAGTTTCGCACAAACTCCTCTACTTGGGCGCATTTAGCTGCTTACCATGGTGGTTTTTCCGCTCTCGTTGTTCCCCAAAACCACTATCTGCTTGTTGGGGTTCAGTTTGGGATTTCCATGTTTCTGAACGTCGTTCAGAATGCTCTGCCACAGGTTAACGGTCTCGTCGGTGCCCGCACTTGAGTTATCCGGTTCTTCATTGGTAAGCGCCATCGTTAAAGGCTTTTCACTGCTGAAAAATCACTATTTTAATTGTTTTCTTTTTCTCTCAAACAGTGAGGTGACAGCGTGTGACAGTTAAGGGGCTGGTGAATTCTGTCATGAATTACAAAAAAATTTGTAAAGAGTGGAAATTGGCAACGTTGTTTTGTAGCCATACAAGCATATTTAAAGGAACCCAGGTCAAATTTGACATATATCTCCAGTTCTTCTGAGCACAAAACCACAATAATTCTAGAGTTTTCGAAATTAAAAATAGGCGTCAATTCTCCTCAAAGGCTCAAAAAATTATTACTAAACAACGATTCGGTCTGGTTTTGGACCAACGTCATAAAACGGACACTGACAACACCTGTCATGTTTATTTCATTCCTGGCCTTAACCTGCACCCAGTGTTTACATTTCAACAAAAACAGCATTAGCCAATTTCAACCCCAATTCGCTCAAAAATTCATAATGTGGGGGGTTTTACAAAGTACATATTAATGGCAGAAGACCCTAACGTTGACAATGTGAGTATAGTGAGCCCCTCGAGGTGCCTTCTCACATTTAAACCCTTAGAGGCATTGCTTTGCAGCTCCAGCAGAGCCGTCGCACCAAGCCAAAAAAGCTAAATTGAGCCCACAGTCTGCAGGCATAAAGCGGCTATTTCCTGGACCTGCAGGGCTTCTAACCGCGGATCATGTGGAGGTAGCTAGAGCAGAACCAGCTTTCGAATCCTATCCATCCGTTTGTTGTTGCAGCAAACAGACTTGTGCTCCCAAAACACGTCCCGGTCCTTCCAGGAGGGGCCATGGAAAGATATGGCCAAGGACTCTGAGCCCCTTTACGACCATTTCAACATCGCCTGGATCAAAGGGCAGCCGAAAGGCAACCAGTCCACTATTCAAAAGATTCCATTCCTGGCTGGAGTTGTGCTGTTCTTAGAGGTAGTTGACCGGCAAAGCCAGAAATCAGTAAATGTCACACTGAGGGACCCAACTGGTAAATTCCCAAAACTCCGCCACAAGCGAACCCCCACTGATTAGATTTTCAGGCACCATTCGGGGAAACATTGTTCAGAGCCTCTATGAGGAGCACGAGCCCCTTTTCACTGTGGGCGCCGTTCTGGTTCTGGTGGAATTTGGGGTACTTTCATGCAGCTGCGATCACTGCGACAATCACCACCTCACCATCACGCCCAAAAATCTAAGCGCCATTTATGGCCCGACTAATCTGGTGATTCGTCCCATTAGTCCACAGGATGTTCTGAAAAGCTTCCAGAGGAAGCAGGAGGAGATTTTGGAGCAGAAAAACAACCGAGTGTGTAGGCCCCGAGCGGTCTCACGTCCGGCGATCGCGGCTTTGCAGATGCAGAAACGTGCACAATTCAGACGCAATCCAGCTACTAGTGGAAACCCCACAAGGAAGCTGTTTACCTTCAAGAAGTTGGGGAGCGACCCGCCGAGCCCCCATCCTCATAAAGAGGCGGTTTCAAAGAAACCCAATGGGGAAGGGAAGGGAACGTGTGTTACAGTGGCGGATGTTGCCCATGAGCAACTGTGGAAGGAGATGTTGAGTGATGTGGACCTGGACGCTTTATTTGAAGACGATTTTTAGCAGAACTTTTTTCAAACACTGACAGTTATATTAGGAGGCAACATTTTCTTTTGTTGGAATATACAGTTTGTTTAGGGGCCCTAGTTAAATCTGTCCCTGTGCCACACGATCCAAGAATCCGTTGCAAGACCTAACGCATTGCTGGTAGCACTTTTCAAAGCCCTGCGATCCAGAATCCTGGGAGAGCCCAGCGCGGCAGGCATTTAAACAAGGGCATTCAAATAGTATTAAACAGTGTACTTACATAGTATGGATCCCGGATGATTCGGTCGCCCTCCGGATCAAAGTCCCCCAGCAGCAGGATTTTGGCCTTGCTGCCTTCCGGCTGTTGCCCCTTCAAGTTGCTGATGTTGTTATTGTCCATGCCAAAGATGTAGTCAAAGTCGAAAAAATCCGACTCTTCTATCTGGAATTGATTAGTTTTTTTTAGTGTCGAGTGCTGTGACCGGGATATTCATTCAAGCAGGAAGCGATTTGAATATGGATTTTGCGGTAATAATGCTTTGTATTGCTAATATATTACAATTAGCGCGGAAATGGGACTTAAAATTCAACGGCCGGTGCTTAATTAACGAAGGCCCATTTTGGGAGACAGGGCGCTTTCACACATTGATGTCTATTTACTGCTCATTCTTGGGGTGAGGTCAGTTTAAACTGCATCTTCGATGGATGTCTGAATTACGGAGAAATTTTTTTTTTAAATAAAGCATCGAATTAAAAATGTTTCCAGTCCTCATGGCGAATGCGAAAATTCAAAACTAACGCATGTGTAAAAGAACACACTTCTAGCTGTCTCATCTACCTTTATTTCTACTGTGATCCTGTTTGGATCCACAGTACCCCATGTTACATTATGCTAGCTTGCGTTAATGGTACTGAATCGAGTTAATATGTCAGCAAATATCAATTAACCAATATGTTCAATGTTTGTAATTTACGTATATTGATCTCAACCTAAATTAATAATAGAAGTTGCATTTGTGTGCATATTTCGTAACACGTTAGAGTTACACTACAGATGTGTTGAGGCGTGCTCTTAGTGTTAGGGACCAAATCAGGGAAATCGTACGCACTGGGATCACTCAGTGGGACAATTTCATGCAACTATAAGCACACGCACCCTGTAAAATCGTTTAAGTCAAAACCAACATCGAATTTACATTGAATCAAAAACATTTGCTTTTGGCTTCTAATTTTCAATTACCTGGCCGTGAACTAATTAAAATAAGTTAACGAACTGTTAACGAAACAGCGCGTTTCTCATAATTACTTTTTCTTATCTAAGTCGCTAATTAGTTGAACAACGACGCTAAGCTTAGACTGGCGACAGCAAATATTCACCAGTTTTACCGAGCGCCAAAATGAAACGGCCATCGATTCTGATATTGGGCCTATTCAACTTAATTGCAATCTGTGCCACCCGCCAGCCCCACATTGTGGTCATACTTGGGGATGACATTGTAAGTAATCGTAATGTAAATAATCACGCGACTTAATTAGCATTGTTCCCGATGGACACCAGGGATGGAACGACTTCGGGTTTCACGGCTCCAGCCAAATCCCGACGCCCAACATCGACGCCCTGGGCTACAACGGCGTCGTTCTCAACAAGTTTTACACGCAAGCCATTTGCAGCCCTTCCAGAGCCGCGTTTCTGACTGGAAAATACCCCGTGAGATTCGGTAAGGCAATGAACAACTAAAACGGCCGAAACAGCCCTAACCCGTTGCTGACAGGCTATCAAGGAGTCCCACTCAGCGCGGGCGAAGACCGGCCGCTGCCTCATGACTTGGAACTGTTGCCGGAACGGCTACAGAAGCTGGGCTACAAGACCCACATGGTGGGGAAATGGCACTTGAGCTCCGGCCGCAAGAACAACACGCCCACTGCTCGCGGCTTCGACACCCACTTCGGCTACTGGAACGGCTTTGTGGGCTACTTCGATTATTTTGCCTATCAAGGATTGTCGGCCGACTGGAACATTTCGGTAGGAACATTAACGTCAAACACACCTTGTACTGATTGTCCGGATAGGAAACCTGGTCGGGTCTGGACCTTCACCACGGCTTCAAGCCCCAGTGGCAGTACCAAGGCCAATACGCCACCGATTTGTTCACCGAAAAGTCCCTGGATGTGCTCGAGGCGCACAATGCAAGCGAACCGCTTTTCCTCTACTTGGGGCACCTGGCGGCGCATGCTGGGGCCAATGGAACTGAGCTAGGAGTGAAAAATATCACGCAAACCGACGAGAAGTTTGGCTACATTGAGGACCCTCGACGCCGCCGATATGCCGGTAAACCCTAACTAATTCAACTCTTAACTCGGGGCCGAGTTTCATTAAATGTCACATCACTAGATGTAGTGAGCGAGCTGGACAAATCAGTGGGTCTAGTGGTGAAGAAACTAAGCGACAAAGGAATGCTCAACAACTCCATAGTTCTTTTTCTGTCGGACAATGGGGCCCAAACCATCGGCATCTACGAAAACCACGGCTCCAACTACCCGCTAAAGGGGGTAAACCCACTTTCAAGCCCCAACCAGTGACGCTTTACCCAACGCAAATGTTTCAGCTCAAATTCACGCTGCTTGAAGGAGGCGTCCGGGGCTCCGCGGTAATTTACAGCCCCCTTCTGCGCAAAAAGGGCTACATCAACAACCGCCTGATGCACATCACCGACCTCTACCCCACATTCCTGGACCTAGCAGGCAAGTTTTAACAGCTCTTACCTGCCTCGCTCGGCCGTTGTAAGGAACATTGTGGTTCAGCAACGTGCGGCTGGCCCGGGAATCGGGAGGGTTGCCCGCATGCCAGCCCCCGATCGCCGCACTGTCCACCTTCCACTTGTCTGCCAGCCCCCGTTCTTTGACCAAATGGCTAAATACGGCGTCTGCTATGGGCGAGCGGCAGATATTGCCTAAAACAACACACTCTATACCTGGACTGTTTTGGGGCTTTGCCCACGGCACCTAAACACACAAACAGCGCTGCCTTGGCCATGGCTATGGGGTTTACTTGCACGGAAATAAGGGGCCTAACTTTGACACAATATCAACAATGAGTGAGGTTAATGAGAAATGATTAAAACAGCGTTGCCGGAGGTTTCAGGGCGTGGTTATTTAACGTATATAAGTTTTTGTGGTATTATTCCAGCTTCAGAATTATTATCAATTGCAAATGTGGGTGTACTGAGAATTTTCCAATAAAAAAATATTTTGAAATGTTTAGGAGGAAACCCGAAACTATTCAACAATCTAGATGGCCAAAACCAATGGAGCACCATTTCCAAAGACCTGCCCTCGCACCGATCGGAAGTGCTCCTGAACATTGACGAGAAAAACGGCTTTTCCGGGCTGATTGGGCAAGCGGGGCGCTACAAGTACCTGAACGGTAGCTGACTTCCAAGACCAGTCGACTCCGGTTACTGTTAAAATCAACTTGCAGGCTCCTACATGAATGGCACATACGATGGAGCCTTAGGAGACACTGGCCGAGCGGCTGAGACGCCCGCCTACGACCTAGAGGCTGTTTTGCAAAGCGCGGTAAATCAGGCCATTCAAACAGTGCCGGGAAGCGTCAGTTTAACGCTGGAAAGAATCCAGCAGCTGAGAACCCAACTGGATATCAGCGGATGCAACGGAAAGCGTCGGGCTGCAGATTTGCCCTGTTTAGGTACGAACTGCATCCACGTGATTAGCGGTTTTATTGAATTAACGGCGGACATTTCAGGTGAATGTCTGTTTGACCTGGAAAACGACCCTTGCGAGACCGAGAACCTGTTCGACAGAAAACCGGTTGTAGGCGCGAATTTGAAGAGAAAACTGCGCCGTTACTTCAGCCAGTTGGTTCCATCCAGGAACAGAAAAATTGACTTGAACTCAAACCCGAAGAACTGCAACGGGACCTGGTTTCCTTGGCTGGACGCGGATGGATGCGAAAGAGTATAGGATGTGCTTGAATTAAAGATTTGCTTACCTGTTACCGCTTTCCATTAGTACCGTCACTTATTTTACCGCAGCAAAAGTTGGGGAATGGAAAGGGATACCTGAAAGGGCAAATCTACATTTTTTGAACTTCAAAGTTAATGGAAAGAGTACCTGGTTGCCCCTGCAAGGCTCCATCGCCCCAATTAACTGACATTTGCGTCAAATTCCGGGAGTGACAGCAGCTGGTTTGACAAAGGGCGCGCAGGAAAGTAAAAGGACGGACGGTACTGAACATAGGAGCAACTCAACATAGGGCGTGGCAATAAATAAAAAAAATACTTGTGAGATGTTTAATGTCTGGATGCCAAAAGGCATAAAATTGCATATTGGCCATCTTACCTTGCACCTTACATTTATCGTACGTTAATCACATCAAATGACTTCTGTAGAAATTTTACATGTTCTATAAGGTTCTAGAAAATCAACTAAATGAGTTAAGCAATGATAAATCGAAATTAGGCAATGTAGACTGGGAGTTCCTTCCAATCGAACGGTGCGAAATAATCAGCAATATTTTTGTTTTTTTTTTGATTTGAGAAAAGGTCTCCCCAGAATTATGAAAAAACGCATTGGCAGTGAACACTTTCCCCTAATAATTACACTATTAGTCAAAGTTGAAAAACCGAAAAAATGCCTCCACGCACACCAAAACGGAACGTTACATACTACAGCCCCCCGTTTTCTGCACATGTTTGCAGGCGAAACACGCTCAGAAATCGACGCAATTATATAAATGTAAACATTGTCTCGTCAAACTTTTGAAAAGTACAAATCACAGTCACAAGTAAATTTTATAAGGAGAGGTAGCGAAATACCAGACAATATTCCGGAGACTGTTTTTTTCGATTCTTTTTCCCCCCAAAGTCTGCAAATCAAAATATATATTTCGTTTTTGGATGGCATTTCCTTCGTACTTTTAAAAGTTCAGTTGCTGGTCTAAATCCAAAGCAACCCCAAGTTGAACGTCGGGAACTTGGAGTTACTTTGCGGCTGCTGCGATCTGTACTGGAAAACCAAATGATTTTGGAAATTATTGCCACACAATCCTTCTTCCGCCCTTTAAATAATAATAAAAATTTACAAGCTCTAGCAGGCACAGATCGCGGCAGCGAAACTTAAAAGTGATACTTAGTGAACACCCCATAAATATCCGTTTATTTTGCAACATTAATTTTTTTTTGTTTCTTTATATCAATAATTTATATATTATTAGATTCTAGAAGCTATTTTTTTTCAATAAGTTACTTCATTTCTGTGTAATTATTCTCGAGATAAAAAGGAAACTGTGAAATGTTTGCAAGTTGCTGGAAAATCGCTCAAGGCCCGCCCGGAAAAGGAATGCCGCACCGTTTTCTTGTACTGTATGTGTTTTTGCGTTTTGTACGATTTCTGGGAAACTGAATGCGACATTCCTTCCCCCATTCCGGTGCCTTAAAGTTTGCTCAAACGAGGTACAGATTAGTTATTCTAACACAAAGCCTTGCTAAGTCCGAAAAACCACATCAATTTTTATTGGATTCTCATATGTACAAAACAACCGAAAAATTGAAGTTTTAATAAAAATTGACAGTGTTTTTCTTATCGAGAAAAAACATTCATATCCTAACTACATTACTAACATGGAAATGCAAACATTCAAGTTTGTAAATGTGGCTTAAACCGAGGAATAAAAACCAACCTCTGACTAGTCTACAAAAATAAAATCTATATATAATTAAAGCGAATATAAAACAATCATAAAATTTTGTATATATACACACATTTATAGAATTTCGAAAAAATCATTCAAAATGTAACAGTGTTGTTTCTTTTTATGTTAAAAGCGCTTATCAATGTAACAGGGAGTCAACAATCAAACTGGATGAAAAAACTAACGGAGAATCTCATCAATGGGGCACCACTTTCAAATTTAAAGCTACGCTTGGCATCCACGCGACAAGTACCAACTTCAATCCAACCAATCGCCGCGCTCCTTCACGCGTCATTCTTTGCTCTACGAGAGGCGCTAGCGCGTGACGTTTTCCGACTTGAATCTGTCAAATCTCATTTGCCGAGTGGTTGCGTCACCTAGACCATCGTCTGTCCTGTTTCATCTCCATACACAAAACGGAGATGATTAAATGTTGTTGACATTTGCCCGGTCTAGTTAAAGCAAAAACCCACACAAACCCCACGGCTCGTAAGTACGAATAAACGCACTGGGCATGCGCGAAAGCCTAAATTTGCCAGTGGGGGCTGCACACAGAGAGAGGAACAGAAATACTTTACTTGCGCGCAAGTAAAACCTCTCTCAAAAGCACCAGCCGCCATTCAAGCCCAATAAATTAAAATGTGTTTTTGATGGGTCTTTTGGGGGAACTGAAGGCCCCAACCGAGCCATCCGCTTCAAGCAGCAATTTCCTCAATAATCATCGCGCAATAGAGAGCGCATGCCACTTGATGCCACACACCCTCTATTGCGGTCATTATAAAATAACATAAATAAATACAATTAAAATAAGTTTAGTTTGTTTCAGAGATAATAGAAAAATCACAGAGCGGCGACGCCCACAAATACTAGTTCGCCTGCAGCGTTGGGCGCCATTGATATTGTAAAAATCACAAAAAGAAAACAGATTGTGGTGCCCTCTAAACTTGCATAGAAAAGACGACGATTCCCGGGCCAAATCAACCCCGCACGTGAACGGCTTTGATTACGGACTATTTAGTTGAAGAATTAGTAGGACTACAGCACCCGTATTGGCCGCGTTGATTCACCGGTAATACTGTTGATTTAACGTAAACGGGCGACATTGATTTGGCCCCGAGAAGGACCAAAACGAGAAATGTTCAATTCAACAACTTAAAAACGACAAAAAAAATAAATAAACTTTCGTAAAAGTATTTCTTCATTAACATATAATAGAGAATCTAACATATATTATAGTGTTCCATTTTTTTAACACTGCACAAAAACCAATCTGGTTGCTGTTCTCAAAATCAATCTATCGTCCAATTTAGTGCCGCCGATGTGTTTTTTTTGTTATTGGGGTCGCGCGCCCAGCCCTACGAAGGCATCTTCTAAAAGATCGTTACATAGCCTTAAACGTACCTAAATCCTAAACAGGGGCTCTACCCGTTATAAAGCCCGTGTTTCAGCGTCGCACTGAATTTCGTTTTTATATAAATCTCTCTCTTTAAATAGTATCACATGCCAGTTATATCACATCATCCGTTTCCAGTTATATATCACAGGACCTAGTGACCTTTCAACGTCAAAAGTCACTAACTCTGTTCGGGGGCCCGCCAGCAGAACGTAACCCTATTCATCCGCTCCAAACAATTTACAATCCTAATTTTGTTCAGCAAAAATCGGCGGCCGGTAAAAGGACGACAGTGCCTGTCCAATTTTTTTAATTTGTTATTTTTAATAAATCTAATATTTTTAGTCTAAAATCGGCGCGCTAGCCTACTTTAAACTCGTCCCGCCATCTTGTTGGGTATTATTGCCAACCTGAAAAACAGACAGAAACTAAACCTGCGTCAAAGTCAAAGTTGACACAAAAAAGCACCGGCTTGAAACAATACAATCGAAATGTCCGTTCACGGGTCTAAAACAGCATTGGAAGCAGAACGGAAACCTGACAATTGCGGCTGGATCCAGGTAAGTCCACGCGCGCCATTCAAAGATTGTTAAAGACTCACCAAAGGATGTGGTTGGTCCTGCACCCCTAGGGGGCCGCCCGGCGCTCCACTGGCCCCTGCCGGCTGCTTTATCTTGTCGCAGTAGTCGCTCAGGATGTCTCGAAACCGTGCCCAACTCTTCTCGGGCAGCGTAATCGCAGTTCGAAAATTGGTCTTCACTTCCGATATACGCATGTAAACTCCTCGATTGTTTTGACCTACAAACGGAAAAACTACTTCAATTCGAGTTTCGAGTTCGATTATCTGCTTCGACACAACAAATACATGGGAGTTTAATGAATGTCCAGGTAGATTTCGACATTCTAAACACTCTTCTGGATTGGTCAGCCAAAGGGCTGTTGAGCGGAAGCGCTAGAAAAACTCGGTGCTCAAGAGTCGTAGCGTTTTTCGTGTTTTAACACTTCCATCTTCAGAGGTGGCTGGCTCGACGCAGAGCCACTCTGAACATGAAAGCCACTTCTAAAGCTAAATTTCGAATGAACTCGCTGTTGCTCCCCATCCCGCTAGTAGATTGTAGTTAACTTACCAATATCAAAGTAGAAATTCTTATTATCCACATGCATGTGTCGGCCCTCTGGCAGGTCGGGTTTGTATGCGTGCTCGTCAGTGCTGAATTCGTCCAGAAGATCGGTGAGAGCGTCGCGAAACTCGATCATTCCTTGCGCCGGTATCGCCACCTGAAACCAGCCGAAAGCTGTAGGGCTGTAGCGATTGGCCTTTGAGGTCTTCCTTTACCTGTGAACGAGGCCCGCCCCGTGTTATAGTTTGCGATACGCGCAGGAAGCGCCCCCGCGAATTCTCCTTCAAGTCCAAGTAGTAGCGACGATTGTCTTTGATCATCATTTCGGACTTGAGTTTGCCGTCTTCAGGCACGTTGTCTGGATTAGGCGGACCTGCAACAGACACTGCAACTAGAGACGCCACATTGATGAGATACGCAACTCCAACTGGGCCGCTAGGGAGGTCGCAAGGTTAGTAAGGACCTACCGAGTGAGGAGTAGTAGTCGCTGAAGGTCGATAGGTGGTCTCGGAATTCTGCGGCAGTGGATAAGGCGAGAAATATTTGCGATCTTCGTCCGTCTGCTCCGATCTGCAAGCAATTTGGTTGGTGAATTGGCCGAGTTTCAGCCGGCAAGTACTCACTTCAGCCACTTTGATAAACCGTCCTCTGCGGTTCTGTTTTACGTCCAGGTAGAACCGTTTGCTCTGAATCTGGAGCATTTTTGTTGCTAGTTCCTGCTCCATCTGGCCCTGCTGGCCTGAAAACACAAAAACGGTGTAAATTGCTACTTGCGAACACTGTTGCTGATTAAGGGCTGCTTTCTATAGCTTGGAACGTGGCAAAATTTGTCTTCGTTCCAAATTTGACAAACCACTGCAATAATTAGAAGAGACAAAGCCACATAAAACTTGTACCTTAAACACCCCCTGACTCCGTTCTGGCATAAAACATCACAGTTGTTGCAGTTTTTTGCCGATTTCATTCAAAATGGGGGGCAAACGTCGAGAAACTGTTCTCAAATATGGCCAAATTTGCGTGGTTTTTCAGTCAATATCCGCCTATTCACCCACTTGGGCTATTAGAACAACTGCAGCCAACCACCGCAGTCAAAAGCAAAGTGCTTTTGCACATTTTCCCGTGTCAATGAAATCTTCATACACCCTTAATTAGTTGAATTCCAACCCCCCAGTGAATGATTCAATTGCTTTCAAGCATCAGAGCAATGATCGCAAAGAACCCGAAACCCTTCAATATTCTAACAAATGCACCTACTTGGATCCTGCCAATATTGAATCTTCCCCAAAACCCACTCGGTGTTTCTGTTTTCCATTATAAGTTCCAGCCTGGTGGTCACTTCGGGTCAAGTAAACAAATATCAAAATTTCGAAAAACTGCTGTATCTCGATCAAGCCGCGCGATGATACTGAACCATGAATCACTCAATGAAAGCATAGTAGAACTGTACTACTACAGAAGTCGCTAAATTCCCAGAAATGAGTCATCGGTTGGAATCTCATTCATCAGTCGCCCCAAAAATAGTTCAATTGGCACCGAATTGGGAGGACCAGAGAACAAGGGCAGAACAAAGAGAAGTCTGGTTTGGGGGTTGAATAATGACAATGTTAAGGGCTGCTTACCTGAATCGTATTCACTTCCCTGCTCCATGCCCTGGTACTCTAAAAGTAAGAAGAAAATTAGCGTTAGATCACGGCAGAGGGCTGGACAAGGAAACTGCGAGGGCCCTGTCGCTAATTTGACCGCAAAACGAGCATTTTTCCGGCCTGATTGATCAAAAACATCAAAATTCGATCCTAAGGTCGAGAATCCCCTGTTTTGACATTCACTTTGAAGTAGAAAGGCAACCGAACTGACGTTGGCCAAGGTCACTATCCGACTATGGCAATCATTCGGGTTTGTGGCAATTTTTTGGCCGTTGGGGCTGCGCCCCCGCCCCGGTTCCGTTTCCCGAGCAAATTTGGCTCCAAAAACCGCGGCCCATCAGCACCAAAACGCTTAAAATTGCCGAATTACCCTGACCCGTCCAATCGAATTTTACGCCATCTTGGTACACTTGTCAGGTTAAAAAGGCGATTGCGACCGCTCAGGAGCGCCATTTCGTCGCGAAATTTCGCACCTCGGTTCAGCGGTACCTCAACTCGCTAAGGGCCACGCATTTATCAGCGATTCTTTTACTCACTTTGCGAACTTGAACCTTCATCTCCACTACCTATATCCGACATCGCAAACCCTACTCACACACACACACAACCTGCGGTTTTAGGGGAAACCACTAGCACCAACCGTCAAAATTTGCCGACAAGCAGTGGCGGACTTGGAAACCAACTGAGCGAAAAAACGCGTTTTTATCGATTGCCCATGGAAGCTCATTATGGAGAAAAACGCTAATGTTCTTTAAAAAACTCAACCCTCTTTACCTCATTGGGGGGTTCGTGGGTTCAACAACCGACTTTTCTGTTAAGGCAAACTATATTTGTTTCAGTAATGGTGCGGAAAGAAAAAGGATGGCCTCACTGAAAGTGCAGGTCTGATCCAAGTGAGTGCTCCCTTTGTGTCAAAGTTGTACATGTCAAAACCTGCCAAAACCATTCTGCCTGCCGGCCTGCGGCTGTGAGGCTGTTTTAGGACAAGGTAAGGTCAGTTAAAGCACCAGCGGACGTAAAGACGTGTTTTTCAACCCCCAGATTGATTTTTTGGGGAATCTGCATCCGTGCCAGCTGCCGCCATCTAGTCTTTTTAAACGGTCATAGGCTCGAAATCCTTGAAATTTATTGCGCAAAAAATTCAATTTTTTTTCATTTGCCTGTACTGTCCCTATGTGAGTCAGTCGATTGATTGGGTTCCCGGCTAATTAATAAACAGACAACAGCGATAATCATGTTAAAAACATTGCATAACCCCCTGTTGTGTCATCCGAATTTTGCCCAAATAATCGGGTCGAAAATAGCTCGAATCGCTGGAAGTGGTTACTTATCATCATCACATAAACCGGTCATGACAATGCGATCTAATAATAAATAAAACCCAGCGCGAACGTCATTGAATGATGTCATAGCTGAGCAATGTCATGCGCCTATTTCCCCGCACCTACCACATGGGGCGCTGAAGAGCGCATGCCCGCCACCACACTCATTGTAACAGCGTTGCAAGGGGAACAAAGATGGCAACGATCTATCCGCCATTTTCTAAAGTGAGATAGAATAAAGTGTTTTTTGTGATTTCCATGCTGTTTAGGTGGCTTTTTGTGCGAATTTGCAACGAAACAGGTAAGCAAGGGCGTTGTGATCGGTGGGAAACCGTTTTCGCGCGGGTTTTAGTGAAAATCGGGCGAAAATCCCACCGGCAATGATAGCGTCTGTCTTACAAGAGACAGAGTGCAAGGCCAGCCAAATCGTTTTCTTTGTTGCTTCTATACTCTTATTTCATTTTATCCTATCGTCTTTGTTGTGTAAAAAGAGAGCAATTTGGAGGAAGGAAGGCACAGTTTCGCTGCCGTTGAGGAATCGAGGGCTGGCAAACGGCCCTCAAAAATACCACACCCAGGTGTTGGATTTCGCATCGAAATGACGCCGTTGATTATGGATTTTCCCGATTTGCGTCAACCGGCCCGCCCGGCTTGCCCCCCGCACTCTAAGCTAATGCTCAGCATTCCACAAGAGCACCAAAGCCAGACTACAGGCCCGATTTGGGTCTGTGTAGCTCGGGCAAATTGTCTATCTGCCTTCACTCTTTGAACGCTCAAAAGTCTTTGAGTCCCCAACCTTATCGTACAGTCCTACAGAATGTGTGCGATTTGAGGAGTATTTTCCGTCTTAGTCAAGGTTTGTCCCTCCTGACTTGCCATGGATCTCTTTGCTTTTGCTCCAGCTTCTTCAGCATAACCCCTGCAGCAAACTGTCAAGAGTTTCCCTTTGCAGTGCGAAACTTGTCATTGATGAAGTTGCGCCGGCTGCAGCTCCAAATGGCAATAAATTTCTTGGGGCTCCACGCTGGTTTAAGAACAATTGGGTTCTAGTTTGCTATTCTGCAGCCAGTGTGGTGCCCGAAGGCCCAACAGAACTATTAGCAAGTTCTGGTCAATTTGCAGCAGGAATAAGTGAAAATGTTCGACCCGAACGTGATCACAACCACAACGCAGCAGACGCAGATCCAATACCAGCAGCAACCGCAACAGCAGCAGCCGGAAAAAGACAAAAACGACCAAGACGCCAAACAGGACTTTGCCCCGTTCTGTTACGCCAACGTGAACATGATCCAGAAAATCGCACCGCAAACGCAGCACTCGACTGTGAATATGTCGCAGCTGACGGACGACAAGTGCTACATCACGCAGCCTGCATTCAGTTACAACTACACGCTCGTGAACCAGAACTTGCTCACCCAGAACGCCATATCCAACATTACCTTCAAGTGTGACGTTTGCGGTCTGATGTTCGCGCACCTCAGCATGCTCAACCATCACAAGAAGGTGCAGCACGGTCAGACGGATCAGCAGCAGGCGCAGCAACAACAGATCACCGTTCAAGTGAGTGAGCGCCACTTGCGCACTGCAATGCCATTTGACTTACTTTGCGTCTGCAGCTGATGCCAACGCAGGTGCAGCAGGCGCAGCAGCCGACACAAATTCAAATAGTGTCGGCGGATCGCATCCGGTTCTCGTGCGAGGAATGCGGCATGACGTTTGCCACCCAAGGCGAGCTGAAGACGCACAAAATCCAAAACCACCAGCAACAGCAGCAGCAACAACAGCAGCAGCAGCAGGTTTGGACTGAAAGGTAGTGAAGGCGACAGCGAGTGACTGTGTTCGGTTGGCAGGTGCAGCAAGCTGCGCAGCAGGTGAACGCCTTGAAGATCAAAAACTGCGAGACTTGCGGGGCGCCTTTGCCGCAGGACACCAACAAGAAAAGGGCCGTCATGAAGGTAAGTGGGAGTCGGGGGAGAAAACGGGGGTTTCACCAAAGCGTCCCTCTTAGGTTAAATGTGAGAATTGCTTGAGCGCCGAGTCCATCCAGCCGCAGATCTTTGTGGTAGCGGCTGCGCCCGACACCTCCGCCGTTAAGTACGAAGAAACCACCGGTACGCAAACTCAAAACACTCCCGCCTTGGGTAAGAAACCCTCTGCTCTGTGCACAGGCTGGCGAAGTTACGCGATTCACTAGCAAGCCGCCTAATCCAGGAGAACTCTTGGTTCTCCTTTCAACTCGTTCAGTTTAATGCTGCAATTGTTTCTGCGTAGGCACCCAAAACTCGATCCCGATCGGCATCAAAAACAACCACCCGGTGAAGAAGAGAGGCGTGGCCAGCGTAACGAAGTGCACCAAGTGCAATGGCAGCGGCATCATTTTCATTGGAGGAACCAAGAACCAGCAAAACAACGTCGACAAGCCGTTTCATTGCAACATTTGCAACGGTACCGCTGCTTGATTGCTTGCCTAACGTCGTGCACTTACCAGAACTGGCTTTTGCAGGCTCATTCAGCAGGTATTCGTCCCTTTGGTCGCACAAACGGCTACATTCTGGCGAAAAGAACTTCAAGTGCAACATTTGCGGCCTGGCGTTTGCCAAGGCGGCGTATTTAAAGAACCATTCCAGAATCCACACGGGCGAGAAGCCCTACAGGTACGAGTGGAACCAGTTGCAGTTCTGCAGGTGCCAGTTAATGCAATGTTGCAGGTGCAACGTGTGTGGCATGCAGTTTTCCCAGTCGCCGCACTTGAAGAACCACGAGCGGATCCATTCGGGGGAGCGGCCCTACGTGTGCGAAGTGTGCGATAAATCTTTTGCCCGGCATTCCACCTTGTGGAACCATCGGCGCATCCACACAGGCGAGAAACCTTATAGGCGAGTAGATATAAGGCGCATTTGTTCCCATCGGACGAACCGCACGAATGAAAATTAATATTTGCYTYGTTTTAMGGCACATGCCTAGCGCTCATCTGTTCCGAAACAATTCGTTCTTCCTGTAACGAATAGTTCAAACGATCTAAAATCATACTGGTGAATCCATTAGTTGCGTTCGTTCGTGTGCCAAATGCGCGCTTACCTTCATCATCATCATCATCAGGCTAGACGTGTTTTTGTGGGAGTTTTTCTAACAGTGAAAAAATTCCAGGTGCGAAATTTGCAGTTCTTGCTTTAACCAAGCCACCCACTTGAAGAACCACCAGAAAGTGCACTCGGGAGAGAAACCGTTCAAATGTGATATTTGCGCAGTCGGTTTTTCGGACAGGTAAACCCGCACTCTGCGCCGCAAGCCCTCACTAAACCGCCACCTTTCGTAGGTTTGCCCTTAAGCGTCATCGAAATATCCACGAAAAATATGGGCGAACCAAACCGATGAACCAGCCCGCCGAGGTTCAGGTCGATAACACTTCAGTTGACTCGTCAACAGATGGCGTTATGCAGGTTCAAGAGAGGTAAGACTGGACGCGTGAGCGCCACTGGCTCTGATTGGTCGGGTTTTCCAGCTCCGATCACGATGAGGAAGAACTGGTGGAGGCAAAGTACGAAGAGTCTGAAGAACTGGTGGAAGAAATGGAAGATATCGCTGAGCTGCAAGTGCAACTGCAATAAATGCCGACGGTGTGGCTTCTTTTGATGCACTGATGGCCTAAAGGCGTTGTTTTAAACGCCTCTTATTTGAATTTCAGTCGAATGTATATATAAAGCAATTTTTTTAAGAACGCGACGCATGTTTGGGACTCGAAGCGTATGAAACGTTTGCGTTAAGATGTTTCAATCAACAATAGAAAAATCATTCAAACAAGTGCTTTCGTTTGCCCCAAATCGACAAACGCTAGAGCAACTGAGTTTTTTCAACGCCTGAAACGGGATGAAATCAAAACAGGCCGATAAGTTTGAATTACTGTTTATTTTAAATACGCACATAGACCTGCTATAATTCATAATAATAATTAATTATTCACTATGGTAGAATTTAAAATATACCCTAGCAGTTATAAGTATGTAACAAGAGAAACTTCCATTAAGTATATTGAGTGGAATGAGACATTTTTACAATAATATTACTTCGTTGAAATAATTCACTTTTTTTTTCGTTTTGTTTGTTTTTTCTGGAGTAAATGAACTAAGGCAATAAATAAAGCCAGAAACTTGTACAAAAGCAGAGTCGCCCAACAATCGATCGAGTAAATGAAGCGCTATTTCTACACTATATACAGGGCCTTTTTGGCTTTATTTATTGGGTTCTTTGTCACTGCGTTAAACCATTGGGTGTGGCCCTACCGTATTCTGTTTTGCATGCACTGTGCCGTCGCGTTTCCTTGCCGGTATATGAAACGAAAAGAGTGCGATCTAGCAACAACGCAACGAACAAGGACAAAACTTAGGTGCAATACAGAATCCCAATGAAGCAGTGAAAACTTTAATACCTGGAGGTTCGTTTACTACCAGTTTTCACCTAGAACGATTCAACTAAATTAATCAGTGCCTTTATACAGAAGGGGGAAAAATTGAGTACAACCAAGTAAAAAGCCACATTAACAAACCCGAGTACAATCGAGTTTTCAGTTAAAAAAGAGTAGACAAGTAAAAAAGGAGTTTTTTGCTGTGCGAAATTCCGAACGAAAAACTGTACGGAGTACGTTGACTAGGCAAAGGGGGGTGATTGATTTCCTATCAGAATCGGATTAGTTAGGCAGATGGGCACTGAGAAGTCAGCGCATATCTGCAATTGAAAACGTCGACGGGCTTACTTTAAATCTAGAAAAGAGAGAGGGCGTGTGGATGAGTTGCGTGATGGAGCGGGACGGCGACAGAACAGTGAACCCACAAGCGGCCGGTCACCCGGGGGGAAGCCCCGCACCGAAGCCCCCGCGATGAGACGCTCACTCACCTGGAGTATACACAGGCACGTCGCCTTGATTAAGGGCGGCGCTCTCCCCAGCAGTGGCGCTACTGGCAGGGGCCGGCATGGCGAATATCGGATTAGAGGGCGCCCCCTTTCTCGTTGGGGACGGTTGGGAGGTCACGGGGGATCCACCTCTATCCTCCTCGCTCCCATCGTCCTAAAAGGTGCAAACTCGGTTAAGGGCGCCGTCTTACACACCGCCAGTGACTCCCAGTTGACAGAACGTCATTTTTCAGCGTGGACACGTGTCAAAGTGACATTAGAAATAGACGCGTCAGTGTGAGTTTGTGAGTGCATTACTCATGCATTACGCATGCATCATGTGCTTCTTGCGACCAGCGAACGTTCCAGGCACCGGTTGTCTCACTCACACTCAGGAGTTTAGGTGGGATGCCACATACCAGGTACGTAGTTGATAAAACCTTCACGGCTTTTTAAGGCAAACAATCTGACACTGACGCGCCCCAATAAAACGTCATTGTTAAACCACACTGTCTGTACATTAGTGGGGATTGAAATGAGCAACAAACGGAAACTGTACTTACCGGAATGCGACGCGGTTGGGTAAACACTGGTTGGCCAGCGCTCGCCCCTCCCTCTCGCTGAAAACATCACTACAGTCAGAACTCACAAACGGAAAATAAGTGAAAAAAAAACAGACAAAGACAACCACAACCGCCCAATAATCACTAATCAAAATCACACAACCCCCATTCACGGACAGTCTGTCCCAAGCTAATTGGCAGTGACGTCAGTAAACACAGCCTCACTTTCCTTCGAACGGCGTTTTGGTAAGACATTGAAATGAAAACTTGAAAATATTCACAATCGCCAAAATCTTCTTCCATACTTAAACCAATTACTTCTGTTAATTCCTGGGTTTCAGT